AATTCAAAGTATGTAACGAGTTATCTATCGATTGTGTATTGAGAATCAATTCCTTAAAAAACTAAAATTTTTTATATCGTAAATTCTAAAAATGTATATAAAATTAATTTTAAAAACTCATTTTAAGATGATGATTATTTTCAAATATCGTTATTAAATTATATGTATAATTTAAAAATTATCCACCTTTTATTTTAAAATTAAATTATTATTTTTTTTTAATATCATTTTAAATTTAAATTTTTTTACAATTTATTTTACAATTCAAAAATGTTCATCCGTCTTAAATTTGTTTTTTTTTTCTTATAAATCTAAATGATTTTTAAATCATTAAATCATTAAATGATTTTTAAATTTTAATTTTATTTTCATTTTTTTTTTGCGTCGATGTTGACGACACATTTCGGCATAGTTTTCAGCATCTTATAAAATTTATTATTTAGCTCAACAAGATATAAAAATACTCACAAACACACTGTTAAATAATAACTCACCACGCTGAAATCTTACTGAAAAGCTGTAATACGCAGCCGCATAAGTGTAAAGTAGTATTAGCTCACGTACTTTTCACATATACTAACACACATTAAATGCTCAAATACAAGCAAGTATTAAACAGTGTGCAATATACATACACACCGACATTTGCTCTCTCGCTTTGGCTCACTAATTACAGGCGACTATGCTTAAAAGACGGGAGTGAGGATGCTACTAAGTATGGAACAAAGAGGAGAGACCGATAATATAAAATAGTATGTATATTTCTGTCTCATTCTTTGCCGGCTTAATCCTACACATTTTTGTATTTGTGTCTCTTACCTGTCGTTTTTTTCGTTGCATCCGGTTTGAAGTCACAACGATTTTAAAGAAGCTTCACTTCAAAAAAAAATAAAAAAAGCGCATTTTATTTTTGCAATATTCATAATAATGTAATAAACTATGCATTTTAAATTACCGCAATTAACACATTTATTTATATTTTATTTTATTAACGTCACGCTTAATATATGAAAGAATATATTTAATTGGAATATATATATTACGTAATATTAAAGATCAGCAGGTCGGGATTTTTTCTGTGGAATATTTTGACCATAAATTTTATAGAAATAACCTGTACGGAAAAAAATAACAGATTTTTTTATTTAATTTTAAAGCTAAAAGGGCGTATAAATTTTTTTTTAAGCAATTCATTTAAATGCTTAAAATTACAATTAAAAATATTTTTAAAAAATTGCAAAATACGCGTGATTGTATCAATTCATATTTATTTGAAAATTATTTCGAAATTCTTACATAAAATTAAAAAAAAAACTAAAGATAGAAAGAAAGAAAAAAAACACATTAACAACGAGTTTATTTAGGTGTGATTCCGACACTCTCTTGCTCTATTTCTGTTACATTTTTTTCTGAAACATAAAAAAAAACTCGCAAAATATTAAAAAATTTTTTTTTATAAAAAATTCCAATCAAGCAAGAGCATATTTGTTAGTATGATTAAACAGCAGAATTAATTTGGAATGTTTAAAAATTAAAAAAAAATTTGTAAAAATTATTAATGAAAATTTTTAGAAGAATTTTTTAAGGAGATCCTTTCGCCGCCAATGTAATAAAAATAAAATAAAAAATATTAGATTATGAGTAAATTCAATTTTTTTCTAATAGTTAAGGTCTTTATTTATCTAATAGTGAGGTTTAAATTATACTTTACCGGACAAATTTTTGAAAAAATAAAATTTTTAAATGTTAGTATTTGTTCAGAGTCTTACGAGAAAGTCAGACGTTTGCAGTATTTCTCGAATTATATACTATCAGTTATGGATTAGATGAAGTAAAAAAAAAAAAAACTAAAAATTAGATTTTCAAAATATTCAGGTTTCTTTTTTTGCAATAAAATAGATCAGTTACCGAGATATTTATTGAGAAATTAATAATTAAAAATCACAAAAAATTCTCAAGCAACCTACGTTAAAATGGAGTCAAAAAATTTGGCAACGTTGCGTAGCGCGCGAACTTCAGACCATTCAATAAATTCAAACTAATTTATTTATTTACACACTGTTAAAAATTTTTGTAAAATTACAAATCAGTGTATAGCAATGCTAAATAAAATACAATTCATGTAATTTTCCAACACCCTGTCAGGAAATCTACTAAGATGTATTGTAATTTTACAATCTTCTTGTATAAACCTAACACGCATTGTAATATTACAGAAATGTTGGTCAATTTTCAAGAAAAAGCTTTTTAATTTTGCAAACATTATTTGTAATTTGATTCGGCATAATTGTATGTAAAATCATTAAAAAATATTGTAATTTATATTACAATAATCACATAAAAAATTTAAAAAGCTTTTTTTTATTTTTACAATTTTCATTGTAAAATTACACAGTGCAATGTAATGTTACCAGAAAATTTTATTTATATTACACGAATTGTAATTCTACTTCTACTACAATTGTTTTGACTCAACTGGAGTGAAAGGATTTCCTTAAATTGTAATTGACTTGTTACAAAAATTAAAAACAATTGACTTTTAGCATAGATCCCTACCAACCTGTAGCTATACGCCCTTTTTTGCATTTGTCACGCGAATTTTATAAATCAATGATGATATATTATCTTCAGGAAAATTTTTTATTGCGGCAATGACTAATAAATTACATTGAACGTAATTATTACATAGTTTTCAGTATTTCTTTCTCTATTGGAAAATAAATTTATATGATATATTTTGAAAAGATTCCCCAAAATTGAACTCTATGCTGAAGAAGAAGAAGAAGAAGAATAGCCGCATTTTACAAAATTTGGAGAAATGACCGTCCTTGGAACGGGAAGATTGTATCGATTAAATGCCCGTCGTTTCCAGTCTTCAAAATTACTGTGTGGTGTGGGAGTTCGTGAGAACATCCAGGTTCGTTGAAAACTGTAAGAATAAATAAAAAAATAATTATTAACAATCAGCATCTCTTTAAGCCCACTATAAACATTAAACTTACTGTTTGTCTCCACGATTGTCACAAGTCCAAACTATCGCATAGTTATTGTAATCGGTAGCGAGAGTGTAAAAATCAGTGGGCGCACCTACAACTGGACTATCATGAGTCAAAAATGTTCCTCGTTTATTCTGGACAGCATTTGCATAGTAACTTTTACCAGCAGGGAACCTAAATTAAGCCAGTATAATTTTCTTTTTTCTTTTTTTTTTTTTAAGTTATACTTAGGGATGCACTGTATATGATTATTCATAGTCTATTTAATTTTTTTATTAATTATTAGACTACAATGATTGAATTAAAAAATTTTCAGGAAGTTTTAAAAATTTTACTACTTCGCGTGGATCTCCTTAATTTGGACTCTCAAATATTTAAGTCAACTTTCTAGGTAGTAAAGAATTTTCTAACTACTCGGCTTTACCTCGGCCACCAATTACATGTTATCTGAAGCTTCCCTTATTTTACTGGCCTAGGTATGTGATATACTATTTTTTCCGTGAAGATAAATATTATAAGTATAATTACTTTGGTGAAAAAGTTCTAAGGGTAACTCTTGCCATATTGTTGATTGGCTTCTCCCATGTTGATATGTGGCAATGATCTGAATCCTCATTGTAGTGATCAGCAGTCCGTTGAACTTCATACCATGATCCAGAATACTGAGAAGATAATAACAAACTTTTATTAATTAATTATATATATCCAAATAAATCTGAATAATATCTGTTGACACTTACCCTGTTGTAATCAATCGGGTCCGCAATTATTTGAGGACAAGGGCCGTCGTACAATGGTTGAGAGTTAGAAGATGATGACGAAGAAGAAAGCGAAGATGATGATGATGATGATTGCGCAAAAGCGCCAGCAATTGAGCAGAAAAAAATTACAGGAACAAACATTTTTATTCGTTTGAATAAACTTCCTTGCACTCGCAGATACTAAATAGCTGTTTTAAACCGATTTAATAAATATATAGTCATAATAATTAAATAAATATAGTCAATTTAGTTCACTTGTTTAAACAACTTTATTTTTATGTATATTGAAAAAATAAAATTTAATGATAAAATTTTTTAATAAATGTAAAATAAACAGCAACCTGCAGTGATTGTGTAACTGACAATTACAAATTATAAATACAAAAAATTTTGGCTTAATTATTTTATGTATAAATAATTTATAAAACGTAATAGCATAATAAATTTTGTTTGTATGAATGCAAGCGTTTAAAAATTCTAAAATAATATTATTTTACCGTACAAGGGCGCGCAGTAGCCTATCGGATCCGGCTCTGGCTTACCATAGCATTGGACCGGGTTCGAGCCCGGCGTACGCCAATTAATATTTTTCAATATTTAAGTGTATTATTCTGCTCAGCTGAAATAAAAAAAGTTTATTAAAGAGTCCAATCAAAAAAAGTTTAGATACTTCCTTCAGTTAGTAGTCGCTTATGATTAGTGGTTTATGTGACAGAACAATTAAATAAAAAATAAAAAAAAATTTTTGGCACAATCATTGAATTTCAAAGTGTCCAAAACCGATTAATCTGATGATTAGTATATTTTTATGTGACGTTATAATTCAGCAAACTATGCACTTTTCTCTAAGTTTAGTATATAAGTTTTTTATATAAATTTTTCCATTAATTAAAAAAAAAAAAAATTTGGAAAACGGACCTTATTTGGAAAGTTGACCCTAAAGGCCATCCCTGCAACTTCCCGCTAATTAATTAATGGAATTCCATACTTAAGCGCTTAAAATTGCACTTATTACGTTTTTGAGCTCTTCGAGCTCTTTAATAAAACAATATTTTTCGAATTTTCAAACCGCGATAACTTTTGAATGAAGTAACCGATTTTATCGCGGTTGGTGACATTCGACGCAGTTTTTCAGATCTCACAAAGTATTTTTAAGTTTTAATTGATTGAAGTAAAAAATTTCGAAGTAATTCCAAAAAAACACTTTTTTCGGTTTTCTATCGGCAACGATATCTCACGAACGAATCAACCGATTTTGACCGGGCTGGCGGAGATCGACGTGGTTTTTTGATGTTAAGAGCTAATTAAATTTTGGAATCGATCGGTAAAGCCGTTTAAAAGTTATTCCAAAAAAAACCACATTTGAAGAAATTTTTTTTGTAGTTTTTTTGAGATTTCTACATTCGGGAAAGCTTCCTAGGACCTCAAAACGTCAACATCCGTTGAAAACTCGATTTTTTAACAAAGTAAAACATAGTAAAACCAATAACTTCCCAATTTTTGAAAATTTTCAATTTTCTTAGCGGAAAATTAAAAAACATTAATTTTATAAGTTTTCAAAAATAATTAACTCTTTTTATTATGCAGATATGCTTATAAAGAAACTTTATTATTATAAAATAAAATTAGATGAAATCATCACCTACATATAATTGGATCCGAACAAAAACAGTTTTACTGTAAAAAAATCGCGCCAAGTCCACGTTCATAAGATTATTAAGAAAAAAAAAATTGTTTTTTTCTTTACAAAAAGATATAAAATAAAAAAATTAAAAAATCCAAGTAACCGATATAATTGTTTATGATTTTCGGAAATTAAAAAAAATTTTGTTGTAAATTTAAAAATTAAAAAAAAATTTTGGAACGTATTTAGTATGCGTGGTTGCAAAATATTTTACTTTTAATGAAATTCGTAAAATCTATTTACTAGGACTTAAAAAAAATTGAAAGTGCACAATATGACGCACACCAAGTACGAACCAAAATTGTTTTTTTAATTTTTAAATTTACAAAAAAATTTTTTTTAATTTCCGAAAATCATAAACAATCATACCGGTTACTTGGATTTTTTAATTTTTTAATTTTATATCTTTTTGTAAAGAAAAAAACAATATTTTTTTCTTAATAATCTTATGAACGTAGACTTGGCGCGATTTTTTTTACAGTGAAACTGTTTTTGTTCGGATAGATATTTAACACTCGAGGTCACACGAAGTAAAAATCTAAAAACGAATTGCCTTTTAATACGCGTAAAAATTGGACTTTACTTGCGGAAATCAACTGGTAGTAGTTACCACCTCCAGTAGAATAACCACCGCTATAGTCAGACACACGGCGCAGAAGTAACCCCTGACTGTACTAGATACTATATATAATATAAAGCGAATAACCACGGGTAAACTTAAAGTTTAGTGCGCCGAGCGCGCTCCTACCGAGTGGGTGTTTGCACTCGTTCGATCCAATATTATATTCATTCCGTTACACCTCCCCAACTGGAACTCGATACCGCTAAATACCACTTGTTAAACATTAATACCAGTAAAGTCCATTTTTATTTTCCGAGTGACAAGTGTTTGACTAATATACCATCTATAGTTCACGTTAAATATTGTTCGACAAACTTATGATGTGCAGTATTAATACCACGTGTATTTTATCAAGCGTATTTACTTAGCGATTCTACCGAATCTGTGGATTTGCAAAGAAATAGAATATCAAATATTCGTTGTAAAAATATAAAATTAATAGTAATTTTTCAAAATATATAAGATGAAAAAGTGTTTGCACACTTTGAATGATCATGGATGGATATCTCAGGCACTGGAAGATTGTATTTATTAAAAGCTTCACGTACTAACGTTTTTAGATTGGCCATTGGGACGGGATTACGAGCAAAAACATTCATCTTTTCAACACTGCAGAAAATTAATTGAATAATTAATAGCTTAATAATAATAAATAATATGTTAATAACATTCATAAACTTACTGCTTATTACCACGATTTTCACATACCCAGGCTATTGCATATTGACTAGAATCAAAATCCAGAGGAAAGAATTCTGTGACAATGTCGCCAAGTGTTGGAAAGTGGTGAGTAAATTCTAATCCTCGATGGCCTTGCGCTGCCATGGAGGACAATGTTTGAGTAGTGGAGGTTCTAAATCAGGAAATATCGATAGAATAACTTTTAATCTCTTTGATAACTTTTTGTTTATGCAGTGATTGATAAAAAAAATTCTATAATTACAAGGGATTATAACTTTTGTGGATAACTACTGATGTGTTGTTGACTGGTAGTCGCCATAATACTTTATGGCATGTTTCTGAACCGTCCTCCGTATTGTCACTTCGTGCTATTTCATACCATAGTCCAGAGTGCTAAAGAAATAAAGGATTACTATGATTACAATTTTAAAAATAGATATTTGGGGAAGAATCACAAAAGTCCACGACTCATAATGCTTATTTAATAATGAAGTAAAAATTGTGAAAAAAAATTAGAAAAACGGTTGACCCTGAAGACCATCCCTGCAATTTCCCGCTAATTCCATACCTGGGCGCTTAAAATTGCACTTATAACATTTTTGAGCACTTCGAACTCAAAGATACAATTTGTGTGTTATTTTGAGCTCTCTCTGAGCTCAAAACAATACCTTTTGTATGGTTTTGAGCTCTTCGAGCTCAAAAAAATAGTTTTCGTGTCATTTTGATCTCTCCGAGCTCAAAAGTCTGATAGAATTTTTATAGAATACAATTTTTTGAATTTTCAAACCGCAATAACTCTTGAAAGAAATATTTGTATTCAAACGAAGTAGTAAAATTTTGAAAACTTCTTGAAAATTTTTAAATTCAATCTACGTAGCCTAATAATAAATAAAAAAATTAAAAAACAGTAGGTTTCCGGGATATTTAATCAAATAATTACATTTGAAAATTGTCATTTTTACATGTAGGTAAATAGAGATTCCACCAGTTGTGTATTTTGGTTAAGAATTTAATGCAATTACACGGAAAAAAGTAAACTGTAATAAATAACAGTCGATTTATAATAAATAATGATCAACTGCTAAAAATTACCATTTCAAACAGTAAAATCGTGATTTTACTATTCACTTTATAATATTTACCATTTAAACGTTACAATTTACTCTTTACATGGGAGAAAATACTATTTCAAACAGTAATATTCGCTATGTAAATGCCTAAAATGTTTAAGTATAATAATTAAGAATTCAGACTTTGATATTTATCATTTGGTAGCTAAAAAATGATCTTATGATATATGTAAAAAGTATAAAATAAAGTTACTAAATTTCTAATACAAGCAACGTCAATATTTACAAAGTAAAATGGTAAATTTTAAACGCAACGCTAAAAATCAAACTGTAATTATTGACTTGCTTGGACTGGTAAAATGTATATTTTAAAAGTATAATTTTTACTGTTTCAAATGTTAAATTCTCCCAGAGTGAGAGCCCCTTCTCTTTCATCTGAGTTCCCCTTCTCCTCATAATATCGACTATATATTGAAATGGCAATTTTTACTTTTTGAAACTGTAATTTTTTTTTAAGATGAAAGAGTCGTTATTTACTATAGTGACAGCTACTAATCACTTATTGTTGGATATTAAATTATAAATTGTGGCTTTTATACTCTCTACATTAAGTTCTGCAATATTTATATTATTGCCACTCCGATCTTTGCTTTACTGTTTGAAACTATAAAAATTAACCGGAATCCGAGTGAATATTACAGTTTACTTTTTTCCGTGTAACGATTTAAAAAAAATTTTATTTTCATTGAATTTGATTGAAAAAATAATAAGCTAAAGATTAAAACAATAAAAAAGTAGCTTTCCGATCGTATTACGGAGATATTTTATATTTTTTATGAAAAATCACTCGGACACTTGCGTTCTTTAAAGTCTTGTATTTGACTTGGCAACACCGCTTGCGCAGTTACCCATGCGCATAAGTAACCGCGGTTTTTTAAATGCTAGAATATCTTAGTCATTTTAATTAGACAGTAAACATAAATAAATTCTAAGGTTAGGGACACTCTTGCGGTGTTGTCAAGTGTATACCGGTAATTCAGAGCGCTATATTTTTTATTAGTCAATTAAATGTTAATAATTATTTAATGAGTTAATTTTTCGGAAATTTCCTCAAAAATGTTATTAATTAATTTAAAAATTAATTTCAAGATAACAAAAGTATTTTTACGTATTATTTTTTTATATACATTCTTTCCACTAGGAGGGTACTTGGATCTCCTTAATAAATGATTTAGTAACTATTATTAAATATTTGGTAATTAAAGGTTTGTTACTTAATCATTTAGTAAATATTACTAATCTTATTAAATAGAACTAAATTCTTGTATCAGTGCATAATATAAATAGATGTATCTGTCTTTTGGTTTTTTTATTTTATTAATTGCAATTAAACGACACTGAGTTACATAGCCATTTGCAATAGGGGGCCTGCAATTACTTCAAAAAATTAAAGAAAAAAATATTTGACTCGATTAATGGATTTTTTGGCAAGCTACAGTGTTAACAAGTTTCAAACTTCGACGGGAAAATTTTTTAAACTATTTTGATGTTTTTTTCCGTTTCTATTGCACTAAATAAATTTTTGAAAAGTATGGAATTAATCTTCATTAAATAATCTTGACAATAGTAAGCAAAATATCTTGATTCTGTTAACTAACAAAGGTATAATAATGATAATAGTTGCCAAAATTAGGCGAAAAATATTTTTTGATCTTAAAGCACTCTCTACTTTTATATCTATCCTTTACAAAAATGTACTTACTTTAACAAAATTGACCGGTTTCGTAGTTATTTGCCGACAAGGACCGTCGTACAGTTTATACTTGGAATTTGCCGATGAAGATGCGGAAGATGGAGATGATGACGACGTAGTTATTGCAATTCTAGACGACTGAGCAAAACAACCAGCAACCAAGCTAACAATAATCGGCAACGCGATCATTCTGCGAATATCAGATTTTCAGTACTCCTATATTAAAGTAATGAAGAGATCTTTTTATAATAAATCCCACGAAAATATGCACTCATATGTTAACTTGCTGAGTAAATAAATTTTTATAATATCAATTGGAATTCGCAATCCCAAATATGAGGTAAAAATTCTATATTTAATTATTAGAGACAAAAGATATGTATTTTATTAAATTTTTTATAAAGAATCTTCTGTCGATGAATATTCATAAAATTTACATTATAATGTAATTGAATATATTCAATTGATTCACCTGTTAATTGTTTACTTCTTGATAATCCAATCCTGGAGGTCAAGGAAACCCAAATGGTCGAATTTAAATTTAATTTTTATTTTTTGACCACACTGAGAGAAAAATAATATTCTTTAAGGAGATTCAAGAACTCTCCTAGTGTAAAGAATGTCTACACTAAATAGTGTAATACTCTCGACAATTTTATATGTTTACTTAATTGATAATAATATTAAAAATTGATAATAGCAAATATACAGCCAGATGAGACGAATTTAAATAATTAAAAATCTAGCAATAATATTTTTAATATTTATTTATGCTAATATATAAATCTGAATAAATCTGAATTTTTACTAAATTTATCATTAATTTTTATTACAATTTTTTTTTCAATTGTAATTTTAATTCTCTTAAAAAAAAATATTCTATGGAAAATTAAAGCTTACTTAAATCAAGAACAATTTTTTAGATCAAGAATTTTTAACTTCCCGCTAAAAATCTCAGATTTTCAAAAATCGGGAAGTTATTGTTTTCACCCCGTTTTGCAAAAATCGAGTTTTCATCAGATCTCGACGTTTGAAGGTCACAGAAAGCTTCCCTGACTATCCCCGCGAGGTTGTCACGGTGTGTGTGTGTGTGTGTGTGTGTGTGTGTGAAAGTATGTGAACCGCTTATAACTTTTAAACGGCTTGACCGATTTGATCGCGGTTGGCGCCATTCGGAAGGGCTTAACCAAACTTAGATTTCCTGAAAATTTGAACCGATTCGGACCAGTAGATTTTGAGAAATTGCAAAAAAACTACAAAAAAAATTTTTTTGAAAAGTGTTTTTTTTGGAATAACTTTTAAACGGCTTTACCGATCAATTCCAAAAACTAATCAGCTCTTAACATCAATAAACCGCGTCGATCGCCGCCAGTCCGGTCAAAATCGGTTGATTCGTTCGTGAGTTATCGTGAACGAAAGAAAACCGAAAAAATGGTTTTTTTTTCGGAATTACAATGAAATTTCCGGTTCGATCAATCATAACCTGAAAATAATGTATGAGGATGATAAAACTGCGTCGAATGCCGCCAACCGCGTGATAATCGGTTGATCCATTCAAAAGTTATCGCGATTTGAAAATTAAAAAAATAGTGTTTTATCAAACTTCTATCAAACTTTTGAGCTCGAAGAGCTCAAAAGCATACAAAAGCTATTTTTTGAGCTCGGAGAGCTCAAAATAATACACAAATTGTATTTATGAGCTC